CTGCAAAGAACTCCGACTACGGCAACCACAAGTATCCGACTCCAGACTGTCGAGTACCTGAATACAGCCAAACGAGCCAGGCCCTGAGTCGTCGATTGGGAGCGAAGTTGAGACATCGAATTGGACGCCAGTTCAGGACAGGAGGAAGACTCGCACCAATCAAATGCGATGAAGGCGCATGGGTGTCATGGGAAGACCTGTTAGGTGATAATGCGGTTTGGGAAGACGGTTATCACTACGGCAACATAGATATCGTGACCAAGAAGGCGCGTTTGGAGAAGTACTTCGACCAAAACTATGAGTGTTTCCGCGTGACCAAGAGGGTCAGATTCCAAATGTTGGCGGTCCGCGTTCACCCTGATGAACTCAATGAGCCTGATGACCCGATGGAGAAGGAATGGATTAACGAACTCAAGGACATGGGAATCTCTAAAGGAAGACTCCACCATAGCGATGGATGGTGCTTTCCCGTGGCTGTAAGAGCAACCTCGGCACACTCAACGGACGGCGGAGGTTATGACGTTACCATTGACATCGACCACATTGGGTCGAGAATGACCAACGACATGGCCCTATCTATGGTGACTGCATTTCACGCTACCAATCTCGGAGCGCTGACTTCAATCATGCGACGAGGGCTAGTGCCGGGAGGTCTTGGTTCATCGGGAAGGGATTCTATCCACTTCACATGTTTTCCGCCATGGGCCTGGGAGCAGGGCTACAAGGGTAAACCTTGGCTGGGTCGTAAGGTCGCAATGAGGGATCGCCCAGTGGTTCTCTACATTCCGGTGTGGAAGCTGCAGGAGTACGGACTTCTCATCTCAGCGACTGGGTCTCTATTGGTTGAGAACGTCGTTCCCTTCGATGAGGTTAAAGGGGCATGGTTGCAATGCGACAATGCGGAACCCGGACAGCCTGAGAAGATCGAATGGATCCGGTTACTCAGTGGGGAACCCGACCCTGGAAGCTACCTTGTTCTAGAGTCCAAATACGGAAACCCGATCATGATTCCACGCTTTCAAAAGCTTGAGAGCTTAGCGGTTGAGGTTCAGGACGATACCTACTCCGAGGACGACGCCAAAATCTCAAAGCTGTTGGGTATGATCGAGGAGAGCGGTGTTTACCCAGAGTATGATAACACCGAGTGGCAGGAACTCTTCGAGGAGATCGTGTACCGCCGAGCGATGAAAGACTATGACTCAAGACCGTGTCCTAACTGTCTTGGCGAAGTCGATGTGCGATTGACGATATGTCCGCACTGCGTAGCGGTTTTGATCGCGAATGGGAAGCTCACACATGTGGTACCCAAGGAGACAAGGGACCGCAATCAACGATCACCTCCGAAAGATGTCCCAGCCAGTTCTTCCGGTGAAACAACCTCTGCTGCAGGGGCAAACATCGATGAAGTCATCAAGAACGCACGCAAGACAGCCGAAGAGGTCATTGAGATCGAGGAATCCGAAGGAGAGGAAGAGGAGGAAGTTCCTATCATTTTGAAGGAACGACCGGACGAAGCTGAAGGCGAGCCCGAGTATCGGGAGGTCCCTCAAGATGGATACGTGAATGAACTTCCGAAGCCTTTCCCCTTCGCAATTGACGAATTGCCGCAAGAAGCTGCGATCCCCATCGACCACAACTTTGCCGTCACACAGCAATTTGATTTGAGGTTGATGAAGTTGATCAAGGGCTTGGCCAACGCAACGTTCGACATCAACTGCTTTGAGAGTCGTGAAGATGTACTGCGAATGTTCGACGATGGACAGCGGCATGACACTCCGCACAATAGATGGCCAATAGTACCGAAAGATCCGGATACTGGGTTTCCAAGACGTCTCAAGAGAGCCGAGGTCGTAGGTATGAGCAGATGGACCGACGACGTGTTTGCAGCAGAAGCGTGGCAGATCTATGAATTCCACGCCAATGTTGTTCATCCGATGATGATCACTGCAATCCGCTGCGGGCTTAGTCACAAGTACCTCAAAGAGGTCGGCAGCACTCAGCGCAGCATGAGTGATCCAAAGGCTCGAAAGTCTGAGACCCAGGATGAGATCATCGAGAAATTGGCATTCATCTCAAATTTCATCAGACGCATGATCAAGAAGACCTTCGGAGCGAGCCGATATAGTTACTACCAGAAACCAGATGACGAAAGTGCCGCTCCATACAAATTCATCGACATTAGTCCCGCCATCAAATCGGAGAGGAAGAATGTCACGAAGGAGATCCTCGTTGCATGCCGCTACTATGGCATAGAGGTATCCGATATCCAAGAAAGGAAATTGAAGTCCTTCGAGGAGCAGATCCGAGCGGGAAATCCAAGGAACGTTGAGCTCATCAAGGACTACATTGGCTTTGTCGGCGCTGACTACATGCGACAACTCACGAATGGTTGAGCATTGGGGTCATACCGACATGCTACTTCCGGTACTTCAAGTACTGAGGGATCTCGGGTAATTCATGATGACCGTTTTGGCAGCATGGGAGTGAGATAGGATTGTGTCTCACACCGTTGGTAATCGCATGATACCATAGGTAGGTGCACGTTTTCCGCTTGTAGCTCCATTGCCTGTTTGATCCAACTTTCAAGCGAACGCAAGATCTTTTGCTAATTCAATTCAATAGGACATACTGGTTGACCTCCAATACACTTTTGAGAACGTGATTCGTTCTCCGGTTTTTACATCCACTCATCTCCCTTCCCCGTCGAAGTACGGATGTGGGGGGTGTCAATGGGGATGGGGTCCCAGTATAGTCGCTATACAGGTACATGCCATATACTTTTGGCTCAAGTGCCCAACCAGGTAAAAAGGAGCTTTAGCGCGCGAGCTTCATGTTGACCTAAGAGCTAGAACGGGGCCAGGGCACACCTTTCCATCCGTTCGCATCCATGATTGCGAACCACATGAGAGATTGTCTCAATGTGTAAATTGCCCCAACAGAGATCAATGCCGTTTCCCTCAAGGGCATGGGAACTTTGTGAACTTCGAGGTTTCTGTCCAAAAACAAACCATCTATGTCTCCAACAAAACTCATATGTCACCTGGAAAAGAAACCCATCTTCCAAGTCTTGCATTCCCTCTGAGGGGAAGTGTAAACCACACATATACTTGTTATATCTTGTTATGGGATGTTTCTCCCTAGCCTCTCCGTCGCAGGAAACGCTGAGACTGCTTTTCCAAGAAAGGAGGGATCAGACTTCCCACACGGGTTCTGAGACTTGCCAAACAAAACACATCTCAACTACAAACAGCGTGAAAACCAATCCCAAGCAGCCTGGTTCGCCTGGTTCGATGGGATCCTCCGATCCCAAGCAGTTTATACAGTGGTTTCAGAGTAGATGGCACAGACCCCATGATGTCCTAGACAAATGGGGGTCCATATAAACCACCTTACTTGGGGGTAACTTGTGCCATCTACTCTCAATCCACTATAAGTGTCCTCTTCGAACAATCACCAACTGTTGACCTTCCTGTGCTTTCCCATGTGATCTCATACCTCATGACCTCAAGATCACCGGCTCGGTCTCGGCTCGGTGGACCAACGACCGACCGTTTTTTTTGGACGGCGAGACCGGCCGGTGCTCGCCTGGACGGACCGAAGGAGATTGGGCTGAGGTTGAAATAGGGCTCAGATAGGATGAGGATGGGCATGAGGATGGGTTGTTTTTGGAGTGAAGCAGGGTCACATGCGCGAGCCAGCAATCAGCCCATGCAGCCGTGGGGTCGTGACCCAACCACACAGCCAGTCGGTCGGCGCCCGGTCTGCCAGTTGGTCCCGACCAAACGCCTTGAGGTGCACCATGTGGGGCCCAGGACATGCCTTGCGCGGGCAGGCGGAGTGCTTTGATGAACGGAGCTCGTTTTGGAACAAAGCGTAAGTATGGAAAGTTCCCGTGACTGGAATGATCAATTGATATCCCCCATGATTGGTTCTCTATAAGATGGAGTTCTGGCAGGATGTTGCCCCAATCAAGGGGGATCAATTGATTCGTCCTTGTCGGATTTGCTTTTGAGTTCAGTTGCTCATGTCGTCTCACAGCACTGTGACCCGCATCGGATCAGGATGCGAGCTGTGTGGATCATGCAGTCACAGTGCTAGATTCTGCACAGCTGCAGACGGAGAGGCCCAAAACAGCGGAGCTGTAAGCACGGAGCTGTACGCACGCTCCATTTATATATTAGATACTTTCTCTGACAAACTTAGCACCTGCCATGTTTCCTGATTGTTGAATTCGAATGTAGCCCAAAACACCTTGAAGCCAAACGTCAACACGGAGAAATCAGACAGACCGATGAGATCTGACTGGTAGACGTCAATACCTTTTATGCCTCAGATCAGGAATCGGCTGAAGCAAACCGTTTATATCGGTGTGATTCCAGCTTAGGAAAGTCCACGGAGAGGCCGGTATAATTATACAATATAAGGACAATATAATGCATATTTAGATACAGACCTAATATAAAGTAGAACAACATAAATAAGACAATAACATGCACACTGTTCTGGGGGCCTCCATCGTTTCATCCCAACATTTCGTACCTAGAAATCGTTTTGAAGCGCTCGCAGATCTCCACTTTGTTGCATTCAGCGGTCCGCTGTGTTGATGCAAAACTCCGTCACATGCCCCAAAACCCATCATTCTCGGTCATTCTCGGTCGCAGCTGAACTTGTGAAACTGCCCTAAGCGGACACCGGCTGAGAAATCCCGTGTTTTTTTTTCATACCTTTCCTTTGCGAGTCAATGCATTCAGGGAAAGAAGACGGGACCGTTCTTAGATATTTCAGGCAATCCAGTCATGTTTCTTTCCTGGCAACATGATGTTAGAGGATGATGTCAGAGGTGGGTGTCCTGTAGATCATTGTATATCATTATTATATCCAAGACCTTCAACACCAGCACCATTGGCGAAGATCTTCCGACTTCTGCTTTCTTCAACAACCGTTGTTCTTGTGTGTAGAATCGGCGGCTGAGCGGTGGTTTGGACCCACAACCGTTCTTCTTGAGTTGGTGAAGTAGTCATGCTGTTGGCGGTATTAGCCATAGATGGCCTTTTTGCCATTGGTTGATTGATACAGGGGATACCCCAACGTCGTGTACATCCAAGTTCGGTATTTGTTACCTGGCATCGACCCTTCTATTGTTCCCATTCGGTCGGACATCATTGAATGTCCCTTCTCGCCAGCCTGTTCGCGCGCAGTCCTTTTCCGGACGGCGCGCGCAGAACCTGGACTCCTTCCCCCTCCTTCCGCCAGGTTCTTTTTCTTTGGGCTGGTGTGCTATTTCCTGGCCTGCATTTGCTTGGCCGGGCCCCCCAAAAATGGAGAATGACCCATGGGCACCATCCAGCTCCGCCGCGTGGCGAACCGCGATGAGGTTTGTCTCCTCTTCGACTTCAAGGGGTTCTCGGCTCAGCCATCACCGGAGGTTCAGATTTAGGGAGTCAACAGCTAGAAGAATCGCGTGGACTAGCTACACAGCGATAGTTAAAGCTAGACTTGCTACATGTTCTGGATCAAACCATGTGCATTTTCCTCTTGCTGTCGACCTTCTGCCCAAAACGTGGAACATGTGGGCCACAGTCGCCTGTGCACCGCCTCAGATGACGAGGGATGGTCAGATTTCGTAGAACTACTCCGGGCGACAGGAGCCCTTTGGAGCCCTTTTGCAAATAGCGACTATACCAGGACCCCCTAAGGGGCTTCTATTGATAGCCCCTTAGAGGTTAAGGGGTGTGCATTAACCATCCCTTGTGGTCCTGGTATAGCTGCTTCTTCAAAGTATTTGTTACCCACGATCGTCACCCGAAACTGACGGTCCAACTAGATCACGATCGACACTGATGATCCATCAGGCGAGTGTTGGTTTGCTCCATCTTCACGGTCACACTACTTTGGCTCTCATGTCTTCCCGACGGAGGTTTTGCAAAGGGAGGCCGTTTTGCGATGTTTTGTGTGGTGTAGCTGGCCAATTTGGGGTTCATGCTAACACGTGAATCCAAAAGGAACAGGGTCCATGGAGGTCCTACTTTGATGATAGGAAGTCCTACGTTGGTTGCCTGGCTTCTGGACTGCCATCATGGCAGGCAAGGTCGCAAAGATCCGACGAGTGCTGATGCCAGAGAAGTGGGTGGCACCTGCCTCGCTTCAGAGAAGTGAAGTGTTTGCCGATTTGTTTGACAGTTTGGGGTCATGATTTAGGGTACGTACTAGTATTCCTGGATGCCCCATTTCTCGGAAGAGCCGTTTCACTGATTCCAATCTGACTGCGGGGCCTCTTCTGGACGTGTGGAACGAGTGAGGATGACCGGCTACCAGGGCGGTTTTCGCACAGCTCAGCTGGTTCAACAAAAATGCAACAAATTTGGAGCCTCCCAGTCGATCATTCCACAGCTGACCACATACACCCTACGAGAACGAGACTTTCCTGAAAACATCACTCAGATTTCATGTTCTCCTCCTTGTGCTGTGAAACGTCCTTGTAACTCAAACGGAGTTCCAGTACAGGGCGCTGAACAAGCTGGCCAGTTTCCAATACACCACTAAAAAAAAAAAAAAAAAACACTTCAGCAGGATTCAGATTTTTGGTTTGAGATCCACTTCAGTCGGATTTCCCTGTAACTCCTGGCCATCGACCCACGGGTGTCTTCAGACGGACCACCCCCGGAGAAGACGACGCAGCCGCGACAGACCACTGGACACCTCAACTGCAAGCGAGTGAAGATCGGGGAGCTCATGGGTCACCTGGTTGTACTGGGCATGGCGGCATGGAGAAGGGCATGGAGAAGGGCGCTAAGCTAGCTGCGGGGGTTCAGTAAGCTTCTGGGTGACCCCCGTGCGAAGCTTTGGATTGCTTGGGCCCCTTCAGGGCAAGCGAGGCCAGAGGCTTCACCTCCCAAAGGAACATCTCACCAACAAAACATCAAACACCTTCCTACATTGGTCGGGGCCCAGCCCGTCACACAGCAGGTACGGCTGTCTCCAGTATGTAAGCAAGGCGGACACACTGACCAACAAGAAGGGAGACAAGACCGGAGACAAGACCGGAGACAAAGGGAGACAGAAAGGAGACAAGGTGGACACACTGACCAGCAAGAAGGGAGACAAGACCGGAGACAAAGGGAGACAGAAGGGAGACAAGACGGACACAATGACCAACAAGAAGGGAGACAAAAAGGGAGACAAAGACAACAGAAGGGAGACGAGACGGACACAATGATCAACAAGAACGCAGACAAGAAGGGAGTCAAAAGGAAGCAGAAGGGAGACAAAAGCAAAAGAAGGGAGACAAGACGGACACAATGACCAACAAAGGGAGACAAGACCGGAGACAAAGGGAGACAGAAGGGAGACAAGGCGGACACAGTGACCAACAAGAAGGGAGACAAATGGAAGACAAGGCAGATACAGTGACCAACAAGAAGGGAGACAAGACCAGAGACAAAGGGAGACAGAAGGGAGACAAGGAAATGCTGCATGGCCAGTGGAAAAGGGCCAGCAGTGACAGAAAGGGCGGACACATCATAAAGAAGAATTGAGAACCCCCAATAGTAAACTGTTTCGGGAATGAATAGAAATGTTGCATCGCCAGCGGAAAAGGGCGGACACCAGCAGTGACAGACGTGGAAGACAAATGAATAGAAATGCTACATGGCCAACGGAAAAGGGCGGACACCAGCAGCGGCAGACCTGGGAGACAAATGAATAGAAATGGTACATGGCCAGCGGAAAAGGGCGGACACCAGCAGTGACAGACCTGTGAGACAAATGAATAGAAGTGCAACATGGCCAGCAGAAATAGAAATGCTGCATGACCAGCGGAAAAGGGCGGACACCAGCAGTGACAGACCTGGGAGACAAATGAATAGAAATGTTACATGTCCAGCGGAAAAGGGCGGACACAGCAGTGACACAAAGGGCGGACACATCTTAAGAAAGAATAGAGAACCCCTATCAGTAGCAAGAAGCAAATAGCTTTGGAGCCTGTCCTGTGATCCTGCATGGGGGCATGCAAGTGCAGGGAGGGAGTCTGAATCTTGGTCATACAGTAGGCCGGTAGGTCCCCTTATGAACCACTTGCCAATCATACGTATATCACAGGGCAATAACAACACTGGTCAACTGGTCATCAATGGTGTGTAGATGGCTGGTCCTGGTGAAGCATCTTATCTTCACCACGAGAAACCCGGAGTTCATTGATCAACTAGCCAAGTAAAATGTCCCCAAACGATCGCTCTTTAATCTTTGCAAGTATTCCTGAAAATGGTTCATTCAATCCCCAGTGTGTGTGTGTTAAGTACTGTACTGGATAATAGAACGCGCGTCCCTGGCTGGAACTCCAAAGAGTCCAGTCGAGTCATATTTTCCAAATCTAACACCTTGCAAATGAATCCTACGTCTCCCTGCATGAGAACACTGCGCTCCCAAGCCCAGTTCTTTCGAGGCGTGCCTGATTTGGTGGGTCGCTTCAATAGCAGGTGTCTCTTTTCACCAAGCCCACTTGGTCTTCCAAGGCGTATTCTTGAGACGCCGATCTTTGAGCTGCGTCTCACGAATACGCCTTGGGCGGCTTGGGCGCGGGCCACGAGTCTCATCCTGACGAAGTGAGCCAGACAAGCAGGAGGAGGCAGAGGGCCTTGTTTGGACACTGGGGTGTAGCCCGGGCTACTCATGAACACTCCGTCTTTGGCCTCACCAAGAGCACGCCTATTCGACGCCGTCCGCCATGCTGTGCTATGCTGGCGCCATGCTGCCGTCCATGAAGGCCGGTGCCGTCCGTGAAGGCCGGTGACGCCTTCACCAAGCTCGTCGTGTTTGCAGAGCTAAGAGCTCGCACGAAGAGGCTCGGTTGAGGTCCGTTCCGCGGTGGCGAGGACGAAGGGATTCGCCTGAGCCCCATCAATCGGCGTAGGCGGCGCAGAAGGCCAAACGTGGCGCAGTAGAAACTCTTTGGACTTTTTCCCGTCGTGTGATTCGGCCTTCCAGTCTCGGTGGACATGATCTCACACCGATACGGTTGGTCGGAGGGCAAGGGCGAGGTGTGGAGGAAGGACGTCTGAAAGTGCCCTTCAAAGCTTCGGAGACCGCTCTGACCACTAGAGGTACGGTGTGGGACAAAGAATACATGATAACTCGTTGGAATTGTTGCCTACTCTGGTTTGGACCAGAAGGTGCTCAAGAAGGAGGCAGTTATCCCAACTTCGGAAAGGCTTGCTTCTTCATCGCTTCCTCCGCCCTCTGACCTTTCGTGCATTCAATGCTTTTGGAACGAAGTGAGTTGGAGGCTCGAAATTCCTTCTCCGGCTGCGACCTGGAGAAGGCTCACAAGAGCTGTGGAGAAAACCCGAAAACACTGGAGTTGTTGAAGAAGTGGTTTCTGCCACCGTCAAACCATCCGCTTTGATCAACAAAAAGCGCGTTCATGGAGCTTGGCTGAGAGGTGCGCGATGCAATTTGGAGATGGCAAGACGCGGTGGGCCACCAGAATCTGGAATTGAACCGTTTTCAGATTGCTGCAAGCTGAAAACTCTCAACAACCATTGTGGTACCGGAGCAATGTTGCTGTGCAGGGGCAGTTGGAATTTCTGAAATTCTTCCACGCCCAATGTGAGGGGGATTGTGGAGAACGACCAAAAGTGGATGTAGGGCCATCGGTTTGAAGTGGATGTCTCAGAAAACAATTGCTCCGATGTAAAGGCGATTGATGTCTGGCATATTTTCGTTTCGCCAGATATTTTTTTGTTATAATCGCTGCACTTCAGATACGCATGAACCGATTTCGATGATGAATTGCTGAGGCGACACAAGCTTGACCGGAGAACGCGGTATCTCGACAAACTTTGCAACCGATATTTAAAATTTCAATATATATTCTTTTATACACTTATAATATAGTATAATATAATCATGATCCCGGCAAAATACCCCAAACGCTGTGTGTGAGGTCTAGAGGCGTAGCAGCAGGAGATCTAGAGATGTTGTGTAGACGCATTGGGGTCCAGAGAGGCGATGGTGGTGATGGTGGCTTAACGAAATTTGCCTTTGAACATCTTATATCTTACGAACTCTATATATATATATTTATTAGACATATTCGCGCTAACCTACGAAATATGAATCTACGTAATTGAAATGCATCGAAATATTATATAATTAGGTTATTTGATCTCCATGTTAATACCCTTTATGAAATTATAGGGGTCCACCTCTATTATAAAATGTTTTATGGCCACCCTACTGGGGGGTTGGGCCCTGGATTTTATAGAGAAACGGTGTGTTTGAGATATTTGAATAAATCTAGTGCGATTCTTTGATGGCTTATGAAGTTAGCCGCATACCCACACATGATATTTGTAAAGGAAAAAAGGAGCTTTGCTGTTTAATGTTGTTTATATGTCTTGGAAATTGTAGACACTTGTTTTGTGTTAATTTGGCTGCCATTTTTTTGCTTGGGTAGCCATGTATAGGTGTAAATGGGTTTATGATGTTTGGCGCTTGGTTTTGGACGTGGGGGGTTTGTGATTTTATGATTTTACAATTTAGGTGGTATACCTGCATTTTATGTCTATTAGGGGGTGGGTTTTACCATTTTATACCTATAAAATGGTGTCTAGACCCCCTACCCTGAATTGACACGGGATATTATTTGGATAATTTGAAAATGCGAATTAAATTATATCTTTATTATATATAATATTAAATATCTTTTTATGTAAAATTTTATAAATATAATATGTTTAATATAAATTATTGTAATATAATTTGAATTATGTTCTTTTTTAGAATAATTAACAATAATTATATATAGGTATTATGTTAATTTTTTATTATATACATATTATTTAAATAGAAAAATAGATATTTTATATTTAGAATAAATGTATTTTTCCTAATTCGATTAATATATTGATTTTTTTGTATAGTTAATGAAATTTATATTATTAATTAGAAAAATTTATATTAATGTTTAGAATTTATGTTAATGAATAGAATATTTATTTTAATAAATATATGTTTGGAATTGGAATATATATAGGAATGATTTATGGATTTTTTTTGGTAAATTTGAATTGTAAAAATATTGTTATTGAAGGTATATGTTAAATATGAAAATATTGTTATTTATAAATATGAAAATAAGCGCCATTTCCAGTTTAAGTGTCTGCGGCCGCACCCGGGGGGCCACTTGCCATGGTTTTTGTGGTTTTCCTTCCATAGATTGGCATGTGGTTCCGGATTTTATTCACCCTTATTGCCTTGATACAACAGATGCCTACAGAACTGGATCTCCTGGTCCCAAGTCCGGGAGGCTTGAATCCTAATGCACCATCCTTTTTACCACAAGGATTCGAGCCTGGCGTGAGGGTTACTAACCTTTCTTCACGGGTTGGTGTAAGTGCAACATTCCCATGCACCTACTACGACATGCACGAAAGCCAGTGAAGTCTGGGCGATGTTTGGCTACGGCTATTTGGTGCACCAGTCTCGAATTCGGCGCATAAAAAGATCATTCCGCCGGGCCTGCAAACGAGCGTTGATAGCTGGACACACTAGCTACCATGGCAAATGCTTCATGGAGTCCGATGTGCCTTTTCGATTGCGAGGTCCATTGAAGGCTGAAATACAGAGATCAACACTGCAACCTCCGTCTCGACCGGCACAACAATCTGGCGTGATTTTGAAGATCCTCTCCTGGAATGCCACTCGAAGCTTGAGTTACCATGAATGGTTAGCCTGGGCCACAAGCCGACCTAAAGATGTACTCTTGATTCAAGAATCCAATTAGAAGTTCAATGGTCAATGGGAAACTGAGCATTGGTATTGCATCCACTCTCAAGAGGCTGCTGCCAGCCAACTAATCATGGTCCGCAAAACCTTGATCCGTGCTTCCATGCTGGCGTATGCAGTTTTGATTCCAGGAAGGTTGCTGCATCTCCGCCTGATGCTAGATCGAGTCCATGATATTTACACGATATATCAGACGGCCTGGAACACGACCAAGCCAATACGAGCACTTTTGCAAGATAGGCAGGACC